TAATAAAATTTTAAAATAAATTTAATTTTTTTTTTTTATTTTGTATTGTAAAAAGGGGAAGCGGAGAATAGGTAGCAGATGAACAAGGAGGCTTTAGAAAGGTAGGGGGTGTGTGGCCCAGGTGTTTACAGTGAAACATATAAGTGAACAGTATTTAGATAAGGCTAAAGAGGTCTTTGTGGCATTTATGGATTTGGAAAAGGCGTATGACAGGGTGGATAGGGGGGCAATGTGGCAGATGTTGCAAGTGTTGGTGTAGGAGGTAGGTTACTGAAAGCAGTGAAGAGTTTTTACGAGGATAGTGAGGCTCAAGTTAGAGTATGTAGGAAAGAGGGAAATTTTTTCCAGTAAAAGTAGGCCTTAGACAAGGATGTGTGATGTCACCGTGGTTGTTTAATATATTTATAGATGGGGTTGTAAGAGAAGTAAATGCGAGGGTCTTGGCAAGAGGCGTGGAGTTAAAAGATAAAGAATCACACACAAAGTGGGAGTTGTCACAGCTGCTCTTTGCTGATGACACTGTGCTCTTGGAGATTCTGAAGAGAAGTTGCAGAGATTGGTGGTATGAATTTGGTAGGGTGTGCAAAAGAAGAAAATTAAAGGTGAATACAGGAAAGAGTAAGGTTATGAGGATAACAAAAAGATTAGGTGATGAAAGATTGAATATCAGATTGGAGGGAGAGAGTATGGAGGAGGTTGAACGTATTCAGATATTTGGGAGTGGACGTGTCAGCGGATGGGTCTTGAAAGATGAGGTGAATCATAGAATTTGATGAGGGAAAAAGAGTGAGTGGTGCACTTAGGAGTCTGTGGAGACAAAGAACTTTGTCCTTGGAGGCAAAGAGGGGAATGTATGAGAGTATAGTTTTACCAACGCTCTTATATGGGTGTGAAGCGTGGGTGATGAATGTTGCAGCGAGGAGAAGGCTGGAGGCAGTGGAGATGTCATGTCTGAGGGCAATGTGTGGTGTGAATATAATGCAGAGAATTCGTAGTTTGGAAGTTAGGAGGAGGTGCGGGATTACCAAAACTGTTGTCCAGAGGGCTGAGGAAGGGTTGTTGAGGTGGTTCGGACATGTAGAGAGAATGGAGCGAAACAGAATGACTTCAAGAGTGTATCAGTCTGTAGTGGAAGGAAGGCGGGGTAGGGGTCGGCCCAGGAAGGGTTGGAGGGAGGGGGTAAAAAGGGGGTTTTGTGTGCGAGGGGCTTGGACTTCCAGCAGGCATGCGTGAGCGTGTTTGATAGGAGTGAATGGAGACAAATGGTTTTTAATACTTGACGTGCTGTTGGAGTGTGAGCAAAGTAACATTTATGAAGGGATTCAGGGAAACCGGCAGGCCGGACTTGAGTCCTGGAGATGGGAAGTACAGTGCCTGCACTCTGAAGGAGGGGTGTTAATGTTGCAGTTTAAAACTGTAGTGTAAAGCACCCTTCTGGCAAGACAGTGATGGAGTGAATGATGGTGAAAGTTTTTCTTTTTCGGGCCACCCTGCCTTGGTGGGAATCGGCCGGTGTGATAATAAAAATAAATAAATAGTAATAATAATAATAATAATAATAATATAATAATAAAATAATAATAATAATAATAATAATATAATAATAATAATAATAATAATAATAATAATAATAATAATAATAATATAATAATAATAATAATATAATAATAATAATAATAATAATAATAATAATAATAATAATAATAATATTAATGATGATATATTGAAGAAGGAAATTGTACAAAAATACGAGGGAGTGGTTGACACATCGTCAGTGTGACTTTGTTTATGCTGGAGTGAACATTAGTCTCTTTTATGTGCGGGTTATTTGTGTATCATTGTGTTTGGTGCTTGTAGATTGAGTGTGACTGGAGTGGTAGAGGCAGTGATTGAGGCAGTGGTATTTAATAACATATGTGTTATAAATAATAATAGTACATATGTTATTAAATACCACTGCCTCAACCGCTGAATTATTGTGAAATGTTTGGAAGAGCAGGGAGACTAATGTTCACTCCAGCATAAACAAAGTCACACTGACGATGTGTCAACCACTCCCTCGTATTTTTGTACAATTTCCTTCTTCAATTATATCGTATTTACTATTATTATTATTATTATTATTACTATTGTTATTATTAGCAATAGCAGAAATGTTAGATTCTTTGAGGTTCAAGAGTAAACACATGATGTCACCGTCTAATACCTGTCCGAACAGCCATTCCAATATGCAGTCATGAATGGGTTTACATTATTTATACTGTAGTTTAATAGCAAATAATGAACAAACAAAACACTCACCACACTGAGTGGTGGGAGGACTGGCTGCCAGTTGCGAGGGTCGGAGGGAGGGTAGTAGGGACTCGCAATGGTGGAGGCAGTGGTGGAGTCTGTGGTATTTAATAACATACATGTTATTAACATACATGTTATTAAATAACATACGTTACTAAAGCATAACATGTATATATTTAGTACAATTATAACGTTTTCATGTATTTTATGATTATTCATGGTTCAACAAGTTAAGGAAGCAGTATTGTAATATATTTCCCTACAATATATTGGGGCACCAAAAATTCACTGTTTTTCAACATTCGCGAGGCTCTTGATCCCCTAACCCTCGCGAATGTTGAGGGAGACTTGTAGTAAACCATCAATAGACAGGAGTGCCCCACTTTACAGCACTCCACCAATGCTGTGACTTTCAATTATACTCATTCTTCATTTATTCACACTTCCTACAATAAATATATTCCAACACTCACTAAGCTGAGAACAAAAAATATTTTAAGGTAAGTAATGTGTATTCTAGGTAGTAGGCTGGTAGACAGCAACCGCCCAGGGAGGTACTACCGTCCTGCCAAGCGAGTGTAAAACGAAAGCTTGTAATTGCTGGTGTCTTTTTTTCTGTCTCATAAACATGCAAGATTTTCAGGCAAGTCTTGCTACTTCTACTTACACTTAGGTCACACTACACATACACGTACAAACAGTTATATACACACCCTCTTGGTTTTCTTCTATTTTCTTTCTAGTTCTTGTTCTTGTTTATTTCCTCTTATCTCCATGGGGAAGTGGAACAGAATTCTTCCTCCGTAAGCCATGCGTGTTGTAAGAGGCGACTAAAATGCCGGGAGCAAGGGGCTAGTCACCCCTTCTCCTGTATATACAGTGGACCCTCGACCAACGATGGCATTGTATAACGTTAAATCCAACTAGCGATACATTTTAACGCTAACATTTTACCTTGACTAACACTAAACAAACTTGACTAACGATATTCGTTAGTCGAGGGTCCACTGTATTACTAAATGTAAAAGGAGAAACTTTCGTTTTTCCTTTAGAGCCACCCCGCCTCGGTGGGATATGGCCGGTTTGTTGAAAGAAAAAGTAATGTGTATACAGTACGTATGTGCATTTTTTTAGGCGTAACTCTATTGCTTACTTAATATATGATAGTGTAAACATGTTATTAGGCTATGATTCGCTTTACAGCAATTTTTGCTGTACAGCAGTTGCCTGGAACCTAACCTGCTGTATAAGTGGGGCCCTACAGTACTGGATTAACGACTGGGGAAGGAAGGGGCAGTACTGGCACTCTTAGTGGACAGAAGAGATTGTTATGGTCTAACAATGATGATAATTACACAGGAGGGCCCCACACATACAGCAGGTTACGTTCCAAGCTACTGCCACAAACCATTATTATTATTATTATTGTAAACATGGGGGGAAAGCTAAACTCATAGGATTATACAGCACACTGGGAGGGGGGGGGTGGAAAATATTCAGGCTCATTTCAGGGAACTGGAGCACAAATCCAATTCCCTAGATCAAGAGCACTTCACCAGCATCAAGTGAAACATAGCTCTTTTTCACCTTTAAATGCATATAAAAGCCTGATGACATGTTTATACCATCATATTAAGTGAACAATAGAGCTAGGCCTAAAAAAAATGCATATACAGTACACACATTACTTACATTAAAAAATTTTGTATTTAAATTATAGCAAGTGATTTATTATGATTATTATTATTATAATAATCGAAGCTAAGCACTAAACCCACAAGGGTATAGTGAGTGGTGACTATATTTACTGTAGGAAGTCTGAATATATGAAGAATGGGTATAATTGATAACTGCTGCATTAGAGAAGTGCTGTAAAGCAAAGTAAAGCAAAGCTGGTCTATATTACCAACAAACTTTGATCACTGTTGCTGAATCTATTAACCCAGTGGATTTTGTTCTGTATTTTCCAGGTCTATTATGTAATAATAATAATAATAATAATAATAAATAATAATATGTGGAGGATTTACTGTACAACCGAACCATATCAAACAAATTAACAAACAAAACAAAAGAAATCAAAACAAATGAAGACAACAAAAAACAAAAAAACAAACCTAAGAAAAACAAACCAAATCAAATAAACAAAACAAAAACAAACAAAACAAACCCAACAAACATCAAGGAATTTCCCTGGGTGGCTAACCCCCCGGGGTTAAAAAAAAAATCCGAACGAATTCCCTCGAGGTCTAAGATTGACAAACGAAAGAAAATACTGCAAATAAAAACAGATGTTTAGTCTTATATTAAGATAAGGTGAGCAGATATACCCTTGCTGACCTTCATGATGACACTACCAGTTATATAACACACCTGTGTAACACCTACCACAACACAGTGTTGCAGAAGCAGTGAGAAACAAGACAATAACAACACTTGTTGTCCTGCTTAATGATCAGCCTCACTACCTGCCTAAAATATTTTATACTATCATCACATGTGCAAAACATTTATCTTCATAATGTCTAAAACACTTTTATTTAAAAGTCATATATATTTTAAATATTAAATATTGTTTTATTCATCATCACATATCATAAATAAGTAAGTGATAATTTCAAGCCAGCCCGTAATGCTATGCATAGTATAAGTGGCTTTGGCATGCTGCTCTTATCTGTATTTTTTTGTACCTCTGTATGTATGCTCAAATTGTTAATAAATAAATAAATAAATAAATAAATAAATAAATAAAATAAATAAATGAAAAATATTTATACTTCTATTATCTGATAGACTCTTTATTTCATATTTCAAATAATTCATCCCCTCAAGGAAGGTTCCTTGATGTTGGTGAGGGGCTCTTGATTTAGGGAGTTGGATCTGTGCTCCAGTTCCCCGAATTAAGCCTGAATGCCTTCTACATCTCCCCAGGCGCTGTATAATCCTCCGGGTTTAGCGCTTCCCCCTTGATTTTAATAATAATAATAATCAAATACTTCATATTTTAGATATATTTTTAGGTCAGATATTTTATACTATCACTCATCATATATAAAAAATATTTCTATTTCTATTATCTAATACACTCTTTATTTAAAATATTCTTTATTTCATGGGAGTTTGGGCAAAGATCTGGCATTTACATTACTAGATTGTTGAACGGCAGTATTGACACATTTATTTAATACCTCACGTTTACATGATAGTATTTTCTCTTCCAGTTCATAATACTGATTAATTAATCATTCCATTTCTTTGTCATCTGCACAATTCACTAGCAGAGCACCTTCATATTCTATGTAATACAATTTATATGACCCATCAGTAAATTGGGTACCTGGGTACTAGTGGACTGGTGTGGGTCGCATCCTGGGACAAAACTGACCTAATTTGTCCAAAATGCTCAGAATAACAAGCGGCTTTTTATACAGTAATATGTCATTGATGTCAGCTAGGACTGTATATCTTGTACATGTACTTGTAGTAAATGAAGATATTATTATTATTATTATTATTATTATTATTATTATTATTATTATTATTATTATTATTATTATTATTTATTATTATTATTATTATTATTATTAATATTTATGACAACCCAGGTTCATACGAACCTTGGACCACCACAACCCACGATTCATACAGACCTTGAACCACAACAACCTGGGTTCATACAGACCATGGACCACCACAACCCGGGTTCATGCAGACCTTGGACCACCACAACCCGGGTTCATACGGACCTTGGACCACCACAACCCGGGTTCATACAAACCTTGGGCCATCAGAACCCGGGTTCATACAAACATTGGACCACCACAACCCGGGTTCATACGGACCTTGGACCACCACAACCCGGGTTCATACAAACCTTGGGCCATCAGAACCCGGGTTCATACAAACATTGGACCATCACAACCCGGGTTCATACGGACTTTGGACCACCACAACCTGAGCTCATACGAACTTTATACCACCATAATCAGAGTTCATACGAACTCTGGACCACCACAACTCGGGTTCATGCGGACCTGGACCACCACAGCTTGGGTTCATACGGACCTTGGACCACCACAACCCAGGTTCATATCGACCTTGGACCACCACAACCTGGGATGATACAAACCTTGGACCACCACAACCCGGGTTCATACGGACATTGGACCACCACAACCCGGATTCATACGGACATTGAACCACCACAACCCGGGTTCATAACAGACATTGAACCACTACAACCCGGGTTCATAACGGACATTGAACCACCACAACCCGGGTTCATAACGGACATTGAACCACCACAACCCGAGTCCATAACGGACATTGGACCACCACAACCCGGGTTCACAACGGACATTGGACCACCACAACCCGGGTTCATAACGGACATTGGAACCACCACAACCCGGTTCATAACGGACATTGGACCACCACAACTCGGGTTCATAACGGACATTGGACCACCACAACCCGGGTTCATAACGGACATTGGACCACCACAACCCGGGTTCATAACGGACATTGAACCACCACAACCCGGGTTCATAACGGACATTGGACCACCACAACCCGGGCTCATAACGGACATTGGACCACCACAACCCGGGTTCATAACGGACATTGGACCACCACAACCCGGGTTCATAACAGACATTGAACCACCACAACCCGAGTCCATAACGGACATTGGACCACCACAACCCGGGATCATAACGGACATTGGACCACCACAACCCGGGTTCATAACGGACATTGGACCACCACAACCCGGGTTCATAACGGACATTGAACCACCACAACCCGGGTTCATAACGAACATTGGACCACCACAACCCGGGTTCATAACGGACATTTAACCACCACAACCCGGGTTCATAACGGACATTGGACCACCACAACCCGGGTTCATAACGGACATTGGACCACCACAACCCGGGTTCATAACGGACATTGGACCAACACAACCCGGGTTCATAACGGGCATTGAACCACCACAACCCGAGTTCATAACGGACATTGGACCACCACAACCCGGGTTCATAACGGACATTGGATCACCACAACCCGGGCTCATAACGGACATTGGACCACCACAACCCGGTTCATAACGGACATTGGACCACCACAACCCGGGCTCATAACGGACATTGGACCACCACAACCCGGGTTCATAACGGACATTGGACCACCACAACCCGGGTTCATAACGGACATTGGACCACCACAACCCGGGTTCATAACGGACATTGAACCACCACAACCCGAGTTCATAACGGACATTGGACCACCACAACCCGGGTTCATAACGGACATTGGACCACCACAACCTGGGTTCATAACGGACATTGGACCACCACAACCCGGGTTCATAACGGACATTGGACCACCACAACCCTTACACTCAACAAAAACAGTAATTTTGGCGCCCAGTTTTGACATCACTGACATTAGTCCTTGTGTCGAGGCCTCCTGTGGTCCTCACTGTCAATTGCAGCTATATTTTGCCACTAAGTGACGCCAGAAAACTCCAAAAATCTCCAGCACTACACCTCATGTGACGTAAATTAAGGGAAAGTAACTGGTACACTCGAAATATAACTGAAACTGTCAACGATGGCAACTGTCTCAGTCTCGAAGGTAACTTATTTATTTATTTATTTATTTTTTATTTCCAATTTGAGCACACATAGAGGTACAAAAAAATACAGATAAGAGCAGCATGCCAAAGCCACTTATACTATGCATAGCATTACGGGCTGGCTTAAAATTAACTTCTTCATTTAAGTAAGTTTATTTAGGTACAGGTACACATATGTACATTTATCAGACTGTAAATTACGTAGGATAAGCCATAAAAGTCATACAGAGTGACTTATTTCCATTGGCTTCATTCATTAGTACCTTTTAGTTCTCTTCTTGAACTTGTTCATGCTAAGACTTTCATTGACGTGTGCAGGCAATGTATTCCATTCCTTTATTGCTGTATAATAAAAGGTGTTTGAAGGCTGACCACCTACTGTAGGTACTACAAAATTGTATTTCCTTTCCCTAGTACTATTCTGGCTTTGGTTCCTAACCTCGACTAACTTGGCAGCAAGATATTCTGGACACTGTGAGCAATTTTATAAACATGAGTTAGCTTCAGTTGCTTTACTCTGTCTTTCCCCTCAAGGAAGGTTCCTTGACACTGGTGAGGGGCTCTTGATCTAGGAAATTGGATCTGTGCTCCAGTTCCTAGAATTGAGCCTGAATAACTTCCACCCCCCCCCCACATGCACTGTATAATCCTACGGGTTTAGCTCTCCCCATGATTATAATAATAATAATAATAATAATAATAATAATAATAATTTACTCTGTCTTCAACATTTAGTATACCCAGTTGTTGTAATTCATCCTGGCCGACATGTTCTCTTGGGCCCAGGTCCAGGATGAATCTTACCATTTTGTTCTGGGTGATTTGTAGTCTGTCTATCAGTTTTTTGTTAAGGCAGAGTACCATGAAGAGCAAGAGTAATGTACATGGCATTGTACGAGAGCTAGACATAAGGTCCTGCGAGCCTCAGTAAATTAGACAGTGTGCCTGTCTCTAGAGGACCTTGGGTCTAGCATTTGCTTTCTTTACTACCCTGTTCCCTGTTAGTTCTCCTGACATGCTTGTGCATACATCTTGTTTCATGCCCATTATTAATTGTGGGGCCTTAGATTGTAAGCAGAACATCCTGTCGCTGAGTTAAGAGGCTGCAGTCTGAACATGATTGTTGATCTGTTCTTGTTATGTACATACAAAATATACACTCATATTACTGTGCCTGTACATATATAGAACATTAAACTCCAACATAAACCTTCTCTGAAACTTTTTCTTGATAGCTGCAACAGAACACACAGGCATAACACAAGACTCAAAACTCTCTCTGACATCCCCCATGTCTGACTTGCCTTGTGCAAAAACTCAATGCACATAAAAGGCCCTAAAATCTGGAATTCATTGCCTGAATCATCAAAAGTCCTCCATCTGCCAATCAGTTTAGAGCTATTGTTAAAAAAGCACCTCATCTCCCTAATGTAACTAAACCAGCATTATGCTGTACCAAATATTATCAGCTCAAACAACTCTGTCCCTGTTCTTCCAGTCTTCCTCAAACTCCCATAGAAAATTAATTACTTATCTTGTTCCATTATATTTTTACTGAAACTAATTAGCTTTCTGTGTCTTCACCACCTCTTTCATTCATTCCATAGGCTGAAGACATTGAGTCAGTTTGAAACTGCTTAAGAAATCCCAATTAACTGAAGATCACTGAATCAGTTTGAAGTATTAATGCATACTTAAAATTGATGATGCTTAAAGTGTTTCTTCTTTTTTGGGTCACCCTGCCTTGGTGGGAGATGGCTGATGTGTTAAAGAGAAAGAAATGTCTTTTCAGGGTGTATTTTCCTTTAAGAGAAGTAAAGCAAACAAGAGAAAGGAGGCAGCAAGTACAACACTTGACTACTGGACAGAATGTGATGAAGACACCAGAGACCGTAGCTACAAGAATTATGTCAAATGTTGGCAAATGGTCACTAATATTCTCCATGTAAGTAAAATACATTTTACAACTCCATTTTAAATTACACTTTTCAACCGTATAGGGACAAATTGTGAATTGTTTTATCTGAAAAGCTACTTTGATGGATGAGGGTGGATGGGATATTTGAACTAATAAATGCAAAATCTTCCACATTAGCTGTGGAAGATTTTGCATTTTGTACTTAAAATCCCTAACAGTATTAATATTTTGTGAGCTTTATGATTAAAACAATACGAAGAATAATTTTCCACTGGGTAACCAGTTGATTTTGCCAAACTTGTTTATTTTACAATTACTGAACATCTACTGTAATGCTATTCAGGTATTGTGGCATACAGGGTCAGTTTTCTGTAACCAGTCAGTCATATTGTACTTTTGTACTTGGATCACTGCTTAATCCAGTGAATGTAGTAATGTATTTTCATCTCTGCAAATTCATGCAACATTGTTAACCCTTTCACTGTTGGTGCCATAGTTTTACGGCTTACAAGCCAGTGTGGGTGCCATAGTACTATGCCAAAATTCTAGTGGCTTCAAATCTAATGGGAGAAATCTGGTAGGCCTGTATGTGAGAGAATGGGTCTGCGTGCACAGTGTGCGCAGTATAAAAAAACTCGGGGGAGCCTGTGGTGCATTATGGGAATGCCATTTCAGTACGCCTTATTCACCTTGCCTCGTGGTAAGAAATTCCTCACTCCCCGGCGAATTGGGACTCTTCTTTTCCCAAGTGATAGTTCTAACACAGATAGAAGTGTCAGTGAAGATGAATTTCATGGTTTTTAGGAGTTTGTGACCAAAAACAGTGCCGAGGATACCAGAAATAGTGCTAAAACCCAGACTACCCTCAACCTTCCACCTCAGGTGTTGGCCTATCTTGTTCATGTTCAGTTGTACCAGAGCACAAGTGGAAACTCATATTTCCCCGTGTCCAGGGCTCAGATGTGAGCAGTGTTGATGATGGTGATAGTGAATGCGATTTATAAGTGCTTGATGACAATTCCAGTAGCAACAGTGAAGAGGAATATTCTCCAGTGAAGCGTCAATATATGCAACGCTACATACATTCTGATAGTGTGCTATATGCTATTCCAAGGGGAAGGCGTACATCTCTGAGTACATCCTGTGGCCCTACACCAGGAACAGATAGTGAAAATGACAATGATATTGTTACAATTAGGATGGATAATATGCATGCAACATCAGGTGGTGGTGGTGCCATGCCACCTCATGTGGCACCAGCTGCACCCCTATGCTGGTAGCCATGCTGCTGACTCAGCACATCCACAACAAAGGCCACCCTCACCCACTCATGCACCACAACAGCCTGCACAACCACAGCCTGCACAACCACAGCCTGCACAACCACAGCCTGCACAACCACAACCACCTGTCAATATCCAGTACCCACTAGCAGACCGCATCTGGGATTGGCAGGAGGGTGTCAATTTTGTTCCCAATCCCCATCACTTTGATGAAACTCACAGTGGAATAAAGCCATCTTGTACACTTGATAACACTGCAACTGAATACAGTGTTTCAAGTTATTCTTTGATGAATGCCTAATGGAAATTATTTCCCTGACTCTATCCATGACAGCACTATTCCCCCAATGCCATGAGCTGCCACTTTCTTTAACAGTCTCTGGTGCGGTACTCTATCAAAAGCCTTACTAAAATCTAAATAAACAACACATACTTCGAGTACACCATGGCAAACAGTTCTTTCACCAAAATCATGCCTACACCAGTCGAAGGAGACAACTGTGGCTGAGATGTGTCTGTTCTTTGCCACAATAATGCTTATACCACATGTGTATAAGCACACTGTCACATCATACTGGTCAACAGACCGCCTGATTTCAACCCCAGCTTTCAGTAATACAATACCAGTGAATCAATTTCTGTTACTGTTACGTATGCTATACCTCTCAGACAAAACAATGCCTGACAGAAACGACATGTTATCTAAGATCAGGAATGTGTTTATGTATCTTAAACAAAAGTGCTGTATGTATTTTTATCCTTCAGGAAGCGTGTTATTGATGTGTCTTTGATTCTGTTCAAAGGTAGACTGTCGGCTCAAGCAATATGTTTGTACTGTGTGATTGCTAGAGTGGTCTTGTTTTGGATATAATTGTGAACACTGAAAGTAATACATTGCAAGATACCAGGAAGTTATTGGGTATCTCTGGTGATGTGGTTAGAACAATGATGGAACCATATCTTGGTAAGGGGCATATATTATATACTGATAACTGGTACACAAGCCCCTTACTCAGTGATTTCGTGCAAGTGAACATGACAGACGTGTGTGGCACAGTGCATGCAAATCAAAAGCATATGCCCAGGTTTGATGCAGGCACTCTCGGAGGTGCAGTGCTGGCGTTTACTGCCAATGATATTATGGCATTTCGGTGGCATGGCAAACGAGATGTCACATTGTTGACATCAACTCACCGAAATGAAATGACAGACAGTGGCAGGCAGAATAGAGACCAATGAACCCATTCTAAAACCTGCAGCTGTGATGGACTACACCCTCAATATGCATTCAGTGGACAAATGTGACATGCAAATTGGGTTTGCTGATTGTGTTCGCAAGAGTTACAAGTGGTTCATAACTCTTTTTCCATCTTTTGGGCATTTCCATGCTCAATGCTTATAATATGTATGAGATGAGGATCAGAAACAAGCCACCTTATGGCAGATTTTGTCTGTCATCAGACAAATAATATTCAAGTACCAAGTAACAACGCCTGCAATAGAAAACCGCCCGCAAAATTATCACCAAATACCCTCTCGTTTGAGGCCTGGTGATCACTACCTAATACAAATGTCTCCTACTAAGAAGAAATATGCCCAGAAGAGGTGTTTCGTCCATGCACATACAAAAAAAAAAACCCACAAAAAATGCAGAGACACTCGTTTTATGTGTGAGGAATGTATAACACTACTGAGCATGACGCCATGTTTCAAAGAGTTCCACAAGCTGCAGCACTTCTAGGAACATGTCCAGTGTCTGTATGTACATGTATATATTATTGAACATTAGTAATAAACAACTTTTTTTATTGTTGGTTTGTGTACACAAGTTTTGTAAACAGTATAATGATAACAATGTTTGTGCAGTTATTGTGTTGCATAGAATGAGTGGATATGTACACTTTATACTAGTTGGAGGATGAAAGTTTGTTGTGGGTGGCTAAAGATGTTGCTTGATCCAGGCTGGTGGAGAGTGGAGGCTGTAAGATGAGGGTTGCCTGCAATTAATCTGGCTAAGGGTGTCACTTTTTTCCAGGCTTCTAAGTACAGTATAACTTATAATAATAATAATAATAATAATAATAATAATAATTATTATTATTATTATTATTATCTTTATTTACTACAAGTACATGTACATGGTGTACAGACCATCAATGACATCAGTGACATACTACTATATAGAAAACCCTTTGTTATGCTGAGCATTTTGGGCAAATTAGGTCAGTGTCCCAGGATGCAACCCACACCAGTCAACAAACACCCAGGTACCCATTTTACTGATGGGGAACATAGACAACAGGTGTAAAGAAACACACCCAATGTTTCTACTCTGGCTGGGAATCTAACCCAGGCCCTTGCCGTGTGAAGCAAAAGCGTTAGCCACCAGGCCACCAGAGCCACCACTTGTCTCTTATAACAGTATATTAATTTCAGGACTTGCAAAGCTCTGTTCATGCCAAGGTATTTGAGGACTTGGTGCACTTCATTAAAAATGCAAGGAAGAATTGTTCCATTAAGGCCTCAGAGAACCACATTGAATCCATGCAAGGTCAAAATGATATACCTACAGCCTGCCTGGTAACAGGCGTCAATATGCCAGACCACGAGGCCATTTTTGAGAGTTTGGTCCGTCTTCTGGCAGATGGGGTTACACCACATATTGCACAGCTTCACAGTAGAGACTGCAACACGCTTAGGTGAGGATGACCTTCTTTCACAAAGTTGATCTTTCAGTTTGTGAGAGATTAAATTAGTAGACTATTTACAAGTTTAATAGGTAGATTAATGGACATTACTGATAAAGCTAGTTACTTTATACAAGATAGAAATTATATAAGTGATTTTCATCTTTCACCTAATCCAAGTTTGGGCACTTGCAGATCTGCCATGCATAAAATGATCACACAGCTAATGGGTCAGAATGACTTGGTAGATTTGGATGATGAAGTGGTGATAGGACCATCTATCAAGAGGAGACAAATTAATATGACTGTCCTTACTTCATGGTACAAGGTATTGAATATTGCTATTATTATTGAAACCTGATGTTTATAGGTTTTCTATTTTTTTCAGCTGTTTGCTTCTAAATGATGTCTTGAGCTTTCCCCTTCTTGCTGATTTCTTATTTTAAACTGATCTACAGTATGCTTGTAAAATGAAGCTTCATGTTGAAATTAGGCAGATTAACTAGTTGTTGGTGGATGAATTGGTAAATTTCTTAATCTGTTAGGAAGGGGGGTCTACATAGCATCACAACAATAAATGAATAATAGAAAGTGCTGTGCTGAATTGCAACGGTTGAGAGTGGAGGCCTAGAAAGTGCTGTTTGTCTTGATTTCTCGATTTTAACCCTTAACCCTTTAAGGGTCACCAGGCCCTCTCCCAGACTTGGTCTCAGGGTCGCCCAAATTTAAAAAAAAAAAAATTCTTATGAAAAGATAGAGAATCTTTTCCCGATCATAATGAAGCCAAAAGTATGAAATTTGATAGAAAACTTACGGAATTATGCTCACTAAGTTAGCGGTCTCGACGATGTTTACGCATCGGCAATTTTGCCCACTTTGAGCCCTATTTACAGCCACTTCCAGTGTACTAGTCAACAAAAATCATAACTATTTTGCTAGAACTCCATTTTTTTCTATCGAATGAGTACAAGAAACCACCCATTTACCGATTTCAGCTATCCAATACAGTGGTCAGAATTTAGCAATTTTTTCCAAATTTCACACAAATTTCAAAGTGCATTTCAATAGGTCCAATAAACAAGAAGACTTCTGGGACTGAAAAACATTTCTCTGTTCATTAGTCATATCCCATGCCTCTTACTTTTTTGTTTCCACTTTGAATTTTTATTCTCACAAAAAATAGAATTTATGTTATGCAAAACTGCATTATTTTAGAAATCGTATAAAAATACAGCGCACTTGTGAAAGAATATTAACTCCCAGTTGATTGTAAATTGACGCGAACATGATTTGTTTACATTTAACTATGCAAAAATCGAAGATTTCTGCTACTTTGAGTCAATTCGAGGTACTTTCTTTGAAAACCAATCAGAAACGTCTCAATTTCTGTAATATGTCTTCCATTCTATAAAATGAGACCAGGAAAACTAGAATACCATATGAAAACTAAATACCACATGAAAATACAGTGCAAAGTCGCTGTTTTAAACCAAAAACAATGTCATTTTTTTTTTCTCATTACGCACTGTGTGTTGCAGGATTTTTTTTATACTGCACACTGACCACATAGACCCATTCTTTCATATGTAGGCCTACCAGCTTTCTCTCACTAGATTTGAGGGCGCTAAAATTTAGGCGTACTAGTACGTCAAAAACCCTGGTGCGTAAGCCGTACTAGTACATCGGAAACCCTGAAAAGGTTAAACAGTCCAAATGTATATATATGTTCTCTCACGTAGCGCCCCAAATTTTTTGAGAAAAAAAATCGTTTTTTTTATATATAGGAAAAAAAGAGCATATGGTACCCAGGTGTCCCCACACCCATTCTCTCGTGTCTAGGCAACTCAGGCTTATCGTGCCAATGTTAAATGAATGACAAAGGAAACGTATATATACGTTTGGGGTGCTACGCGAGAGAATGTATATATACGTTTGGACCGTGTAAGGGTTAAGAAAGCAAGAACTCTTGCTTCCTGCATTATGCACATGCCTAAATGTTATTGTTGCTGTGCCTACCCCTACTCCTAACAACACATCCTTTAAGAGTGGAGCTTGGTAGTGTGGATACTGGTGGTATACACATTATACATGAATCTCAAAACTGAGAATTTTTATTTATTTTATTATTATTTTATTATTACTTTATTATTATTTTATTATTTTACTATTTATTCCTTTACAACAATTTTCAGGAATGTACAGATGTACTAATGCAGGAGAAAAATTCTTCCAAGTTGAGAGGGTCTACACAGAAAGCAACCATTCTTTGTAATGATGAAACATGTAAAGCTGTGACATCCCCACGCAAGGCTGTGGCATCCCCACGCAAGGCTGTGGCATCCCCACACAAGGCTGTGGCATCCCCACGCAAGGCTGTGGCATCCCCACGCAAGACTGTGGCATCCCCATGCAAGGCTGTGGCATCCCCATGCAAGGCTGTGGCATCCCCACGCAAGGCTGCGACATCCCTATGCAAGGCTGTGGCATCCCCACACAAGGCTGTGACATCCCAATTCAAGGCTGTGGCATCTCCACTCAAGGCTATGGCATCCCCACACAAGGCTATGGTATCCCCATGCAAGGCTGTGGCATCCCCATGCAAGGCTGTGGCATCCCCACACAAGGCTATGTCATCTTCACTCATGGCTATTGCATCCCCACACAAAACTGTGGGATCCTCTTGCAAGGAAATGGGATCACCATCTATAGCTATGAAATCTTTTAGCAATAATGGGTCACCTCAGAAGAAGATAAAATTAAGTAAAGAGACTTCTTTACCAATTGAAGATGATCATCAACCTCTTGTAGTTATCTTAGAAGATGTAGAAAGTTTTCCTATGAATGTACTTCATGACCTTATTCTAATTTGTAGGTGTGTATTATATCAGAATTTTTATTTTATTGTAAGATTAATTTTTAACCCGTAAATGGTCCAAAAGTATATACAGTGGACCCCCGGTTAACGATATTTTTTCACTCCAGAAGTATGTTCAGGTGCCAGTACTGACCGAATTTGTTCCCATAAGAAATATTGTGAAGTAGATTAGTCCATTTCAGACCCCCAAACATACACGTACAAACGCACTTACATAAATACACTTACATAATTGGTCGCATTCGGAGGTAATCGTTATGCGGGGGTCCACTGTATACATTTTTACTGCTAGTGCCCCAAACGTATATATATACGTTTTATTTTTCCGGACTTCAAATTTGGCACGATTGGTCTGAGATGCCTTGTCAGCATAGAATGGGTCCTAACACTCAGTGTGTGCGGTATTAAAAAAATCTGGGACCACTTAGTACCTTGTGGGAGCACCAGTTCAAATGAGTGCCAGCTAGAGCAAACAGTGCAGCAAACACCTGGGATTCACTGATGTCATGTAGTATTAACACTCCCATTTTAAGAGGAAAGTGATTTTGGCCCTGAGTTTAATGGCTTTGAGGTGGATGTGGCCACAAGTGGTAGAGGAAATATCAAAAACCTCGATAATAACTCACGTTTAATATTTGTCAACACCCTTTCAGAAGTCTTATAATCTATGCCCTAAGTCAAGAGACACAGTTTTGGGGCTGTTGGGAGGCGGCTGCCTGGGCTGCCGGGGGCTGCCCGGCTGGATACTGGCTGGTTTTTGCTGGGGCCCCTGCATGGTGGGGCCCGTTGTGGGGGCCCTGCGGGGGCCCGGGTACTCCTTTTTTGTCTGTACTTTCTATCTTGTCCTCTGTCTCTCTGTCTCTATCTTGTCGTCTTTAATCATCTCTGTCTGTCTTAATCTATCTCTTCTCTGTCTGTCTATCTCTTCTCTTTTCTCTATCTTCTTTTCTTCTTCTTTTCTCTTCTTTTCTCTTTTCTTCTATTTTTCTTCTTTTCTTCTTCTTTTCTTCTTCTTTTCTTCTTCTTTTCTTTCTTCTTTTCTTCTTTTTCTTCTTCTCTTTCTTCTTTTCTTCTTTTTTCTTTTCTTTCTTTTCTTCTTTTCTTCTTTTCTTCTTCTTTTCTTCTTTTCTTTTCTTTTCTTCTTTCTTCTTTTCTTCTTTTCTTCTTCTTTTCTCTTTCTCTTCTCTTTCTTCTTTTCTTCTTCTTTCTTCTTCTTCTTTATCTTCTTCTTTCTTTTTCTTCTTCTTCTTTTCTTCTTCTTCTTCTTCTTTTCTTCTTCTTCTTTTCTTCTTCTTCTTTTCTTCTTCTTTTCTTCTTCTTCTTTTCTTCTTCTTTTCTTCTTCTTTTCTTCTTCTTCTTTTCTTCTTTTCTTTTCTTCTTCTTCTTCTTTCTTCTTTTCTTTTCTTTTCTTCTTCTTCCTCTTCTTCTTCCTCTTCTTCTTCCTCTTCTCTTCCTCTTCTTCTTCCTCTTCTTCTTTCCTCTTCTTCTTCTTCTCTTCTTCTTCTTCTTCTTCTTTTCTTCTTCTTCTTCTTCTTCTTCTTCTTCTTCTTCTTCTTCTTCTTCTTCTTCTTCTTCTTCTTCTTCTTCCACATATCCAAAACATTTTTGGGACATATAAATACTTTGTATATATTCCAAGACAATAGTAAATGGCCAAGGCAGGTGTAAATCTCCACCTGTCAGTGTGTTAGTGACAATTTTAGTACCTAATACTAGTGTCAGAACAAAGATTGGTTATGAAATGACAAGAACTACAGCAGGGCCCCGCTTTACGGCGTTTTGCTTTACGGCGTTCCGCTAATACGGACATTTAAAATTATGACCAAAACTCGTTTATAAAGGCTCCCCCCACCTGTCTTTCTAATACGGTCACAGCGGCCCACCGAGTTTGTTTACATTCTCCCTGAGCACATCTCCTTATTATGTCTGGAAACTTTCCAAAATTTCAAGTGTTTTAAAGTTATTGTATATTTTATATGTATTGTACTTGATAATTAAACTTGTGTACACCTGTACCTAAATAAACTTACACACTGTGCTGGCATGTAGGTACACATTAAAATCACTAAGAGTCTCTCTACTCTTGATGCAATAATAATAATAATAATAATAATAATAATAATAGTAATAATAATCTCTTGGGCGCATTAATGTCGCATATTACGTTAATATAGACATTTCCCTTAATCTATGATATTTTTTTCAAAATTATATAAGAAACACATTATGTAACACACAAACATGATACATGCACCCACAGTATAAAAATTTATACAAATATATATGAGATGTTTACCAAACGGTTTGTAGAAGTGTCGGAAGAATTACGTTTTCTCTAGCCCGTCACCTGTTACTAGGGATAACTGTAGAAAAATATTCCTTTCGTATGCCTTCACTTTATAGCTATAATTCTGTACTAACTTGTACACAGTGTAAGAGTATTTGTTTCGTGATTTAATTATTTTTTTTTTTTTTTTTTTTTCAACAAGTCGGCCGTCTCCCACCGAGGCAGGGTGACCAAAAAAGAAAGAAAATCCCAAAAAGAAAATACTTTCATCATCATTCAACACTTTCACCACACTCGCACATTATCACTGTTTTTGCAGAGGTGCTCAGAATACAACAGTCTAGAAGCATACACATATAAAGATACACAACATATCCCTCCAAACTGCCAATATCCCAAACCCCTCCTTTAAAGTGCAGGCATTGTACTTCCCATTTCCAGGACTCAAGTCCGACTATATGAAAATAACCGGGTTTCCCTGAATCCCTTCACTAAATATTACCCTGCTCACACCCCAACAGATCGTCAGTCCAAGTACCATTCGTCTCCATTCACTCCTATCTAACACGCTCACGCACAGCTTGCTGGAAGTCCAAGCCCTTACCCACAAACCTCCTTTACCCCCTCTCTCCCAACCCTTTCGAGGACGACCCCTACCCCGCCTTCCTTCCCCTATAGATTTATATGCTTCCATGTCATTCTACTTTGACCATTCTCTCTAAATGACCAAACCACCTCAACAACCCCTCTTCTGCCCTCTGACTAATACTTTTATTAACTCCACACCTTCTCCTAATTTCCACACTCCGAATTTTCTGCATAATATTTACACCACACATTGCCCTTAAACAGGACATCTCCACTGCCTCCAACCGTCTCCTCGCTGCTGCATTTACCACCCAAGCTTCAAAACCCATATAAGAGTGTTGGTACTACTATACTTTCATACATTCCCTTCTTTGCCTCCATAGATAACTTTTTTGACTCCACATATACCTCAACGCACCACTCACCTTTTTTCCCTCATCAATTCTATGATTAACCTCATCCTTCATAAATCCATCCGCCGACACGTCAACTCCCAAGTATCTGAAAACATTCACTTCTTCCATACTCCTCCTCCCAATTTGATATCCAATTTTTCTTTATCTAAATCATTTGACACCCTCATCACCTTACTCTTTTCTATGTTCACTTTCAACTTTCTACCTTTACACACATTCCCAAACTCATCCACTAACCTTTGCAATTTTTCTTAGAATCTCCCATAAGCACAGTATCATCAGCAAAAAGTAACTGTGTCAATTCCCATTTTGAATTTGATTCCCCATAATTTAATCCCACCCTCTCCCAAACACCCTAGCATTTACTTCCTTAACAACCCATCTATAAATATATTAAACAACCAGGTGACATTACACATCCTGTCTAAGACCTACTTTTACCGGGAAATAGTCTCCCTCTCTTCTACACACCCTAACCTGAGCCTCACTATCTTCATAAAAACTCTTTACAGCATTTAATAACTTACCACCTATTCCATATACTTGCAACATCTGCCACATTGCTCCTCTATCCCTATCATATGCTTTCTAAATCATAAATGCAATAAAACTTCCCTACCTTTATCTAAATACTGTTCACATATATGCTTCAATGTAAACACTTGATCTACACATCCCCTACCCACTCTGAAACTCCTTGCTCATCCCAATCCTACATTTGTCTTACTCTAATTCTTTCATTATAACCCTACGTACACTTTTCCTGGTATACTCATAAGCTTATTCCTCTATAATTTTTACAGTCTCTTTTGTCCCCTTTCCCTTTATATAAAGGGACTATACATGTCTCCGCCAATCCCTAGGTACCTTCCCCTCTTTCATACATTTATTGAACAAAAGTACACACTCCACACTATATCCCCCCCTGCTTTAACTTCTGTCATGACCCACAGTACAGTGCTTTACCCCCTTTCATTTTACTAATGCCCCGTACCTCCCCACACTTACTTGCTCTTCTTCACTCTAAAGATGGTAACCTCCCTGACCAGTGCATGAAATTACTGCCTTTTTCTTCCTTAACATTTAAAAGTCCTCAAATATTCTCGCATTACTAATACTCCATCCCCCTCTACAAATCCTACTTGTTTTTATGACAAATCTATTTTCCTTGCTTTCTTAACTTGTTTAACTCACTCCAAAATTTTTCTTATTTCTTAAATTCTTGAAGGCTCTCCACCTATATCTGCTCTCCTTTTGCACTCTCCACCACTTCTTTCCTTCTTTACTCTCCATATATTCTGCTCTTCTTATAACACTTCTGCTTGTAAAAACCTCTCATAGCTACCTTTTCTCTTTTATCACACCCTTTACTTCATCATTCCACCAACACTCCTCTTTCCTCCTGCACCCACCCTCCTATAACACAAATTTTGCCCCACATTCTAATACTGCATTTTTAAAACTATTCCAACCCTCTTCAACCCCCCCATTACTCATCTTTGCACTATCCCACCTTTCTGCCAATAGTCGCTTATATCTCGCCCGAACTTCCTCCTCCCTTAGTTTATACACTTTCACCTCCCTCTTACTTGTTGTTGCCACCTTCCTCTTTTCCCATACCTCTTACTCTAACTGTAGCTACAACTAAATAATGATCCGATATATCAGTTGCCCCTCTATTAAACATGTACATCCTGGAGCCTACCATCAACCTTTTTCCACCAATACATAATCTAATAAACTACTTTCATTACGTGCTACATCATACCTTGTATATTTATTTATCCTCTTTTTCATAAAATATGTATTACTTATTACCAAATTTCTTTCTACACATAGCTCAATTAAAGGCTCCCCATTTACATTTACCCCTGGCACCCCAAATTTACCTACTACCCTCCATAACATTTTTACCCACTTTAGCATTGAAATCCCCAACCACCATTACTCTCACGCTTGATTCAAAACTCCCCACGCATTCACTCAACATTTCCCAAAATCTCTCTCTCTCCTCTACACTTCTCTCTTCTCCAGGTGCATACACGCTTATTATAACCCACTTTTCACATCCAATCTTTATTTTACTCCACATAATCCTTGAATTAATACATTTATAGTCCCTCTTTTCCTGCCATAGCTTATCCTTCAACATTATTGCTACTCCTTCTTTAGCTCTAACTCTATTTGAAACCCCTGACCTAATCCCATTTATTCCTCTCCATTGAAACTCTCCCACCCCCTTCAGCTTTGTTTCACTTAAAGCCAGGACATCCAGCTTCTTTTCATTCATAACATCCACAATCATCTCTTTCTTATCATCTGCACAACATCCACGCACATTCAGACTTCCCACTTTGACAATTTTCTTCTTCTTATTCTTTTAATTATTATAATAATAATAAAAATACAGTGGACCCCCGCATAACGATTACCTCCGAATGCGACCAATTATGTAAGTGTATTTATGTAAGTGCGTTTGTACGTGTATGTTTGGGGGTCTGAAATGGACTAATCTACTTCACAATATTCCTTATGGGAACAAATTCGGTCAGTACTGGCACCTGAACACACTTCTGGAGTGAAAAAATATCGTTAACCGGGGGTCCACTGTATTATAAGGTAAAAGTTTCACAAACTCTTACAAATGTACATGAATGAACTAAAACTGGACACGTATTAATACCGTCTATTTCGCCTGACCGAGTGATCATCCACAACCTGTTCAGTTTGTTTGTTTACGCTGTCTGAGCTCGGTGTATCATTAAATGTTGTATATTACGTTAATATACACATTTTCATTAATCCATCCGTGATATTTTTTTCAAAATTATATAATAAACATGATACATAACATAAATACATAACATATGTGTAGAGAACCTAGGATAACCCAAAAAAGTCAGAGTGACTTACTTCCATTGCCTTCACTCAGAGCATCATTTCTTCTCAAAATGATGTTACATGAGAATGGGAGTGTTCTTCTTTATTTATTCTACCGTATCAATGTAGAGACAACCTGTACACAATGTTAACTTGTACACAAACCAGACGTGTACATGTTTACAAAACTTACCTTAGTCTGGTTTGTTTACATAACTCTGCGCCTGTCCTCTCTCATGCACTCATTCTTTCTCTCTGGTATGGTAGCCTGCCTGACTACCATACATACCACACTTGATTTTTTACAATAAATACTACTCATCTCACCCTATATTTTAAGGTAAGTAATGAGTGAACTGTATATACATTTTATCGCTCTGGGATGCCTAAATATCATAGAATAGTATGTGTGGGTGGGTTGGCCTGGTATGGTAGCCTGGCTGACTACCATACATACCACAGTTGATTTTTTACAATAAACACTACTTGTCTCACCCTAGATTAAGACTATAAATATTTTAAGGTAAGTAATGAGTGCACTATGTGTGTATTGTACTTTTTTATTGTTTTTTGATGCCTGGTTCTATTGCTAACATAATATATGTTAGTGTAAACTTGTTATCTAGTGTTTGTATGCATTTGTAAGTGGAAAAAAAGGGTGTTCCACTTTACGGCGGTCTCCGCTTTACGGCGGTAGCCTGGAACCTAACCCGCCGTATAAGTGGGGCCCTCCTGTACTATAAATTGTTATTATCAGAACATGAAAATTATATAAAATAATATGAAAAATAGAAAAAAAAAGGTATATCGGCAACACTTTTGCAAGCGGCAGTGCTCCATGTTGCCGCCAGGCGATCCCCAAGTGCCAACTTTGTGGCCTCATATCTCGGTAAGTACTGACTCTAAATTTTTTTTTATCCTATAACACTTAGAAAAATGTGCTCTTTTTTCAATTAAAAAAAAAACGATTTTTTTATTTTTCAAAATATTCGGGGCACTGGGGTAGTGAACGTATATATACGTTTGGACCATTTATGGGTTAAAGCAGTTAAGAGTTTTTAAGAGGATAGCGAGACTCAGGATAGGGTATATAGGAGAGAGGGAGATGATTATTTTCCAGTAAGAGTAGGCTTTACAGGGATGTGTGATGTCATCATGGTTTTAACATTTATAGATGGGATTATAAAAGAAGTGAATGCCAGGGTGCTGGGAAGAGGTGTGGGATTAAAAGATTAAGAATCTGATATAAAATGGGAGTTGTCATAATTTCTTTTTGCTGATGACACAGTGGTTTTGGGGAGATTCTGAAGAGAAGTTGCAAAGATCTGTAGATGGATTTGTAAAGGAAAAAAATTAAAAGTGAACATAGGAAAGGGCTAGATGATAAGAGTAACAAAAAATTTAGGTAATGTAAGATTGGATATCAGATTAGGCTGGAGTATGGGGGAAATGAATGTGTTTAGATATTTGAGAGTGGACTTGTTAGCAGATTGGTCTATGAAAGATGAGGTGAACCATAGAATTAACAGGGGGAAAAAAGATGGGTGGTACTTTGAGGCATCTGTGGAGACGCAGAACCTTATTCATAGAGGCAAAAAAGTTAATGTACCAGAATATATAGTGGTACCAACATTTATGTGAGTGTGCAGCATGGGTTTTAAACATTACAGCAAGGAGGCTGGAGGCAATGGATATGTGTCTGGAGGCAGTGTGTAGTGTGATTATTATATAGAGAATTTGTAGTTTGGAGATTAGAAGGAGGTGCAGGGTTTCTAAAAGTATTATCCAGAGAGTTGAGGAGGGGTTATTGAGGTGTTTTGGACATTTGGAGAAGATGGAGCAAAATAAGATGCCCCTCCTTTATATACCCTCCAAGTCAAAGGGTTGTCCTAGGAAAGGTTGGATATCCAGCAGGTGTGAGTGTGTTAGAAAGAAGAAGAGTGGACTTGAGCATTTTTTTTATGACTTGATGTGCTGTTAGTGTGAGCAAAGTAACATGAAGGGATTCGGGGAAATAAAAGACCCAATTTAACGGATTTCAGAAATGTGAAATAAAACCTCCTTGGTCAACTGATTTGCAGACATGGACAAGATCTATTGGTTATGGTCACTTCAAAACAATCTCTTGTCTATCCAACACGATTTCCATTACCATCCACCCTATTAGTTAAATAGTATTTACTGATCTTCAGGCTCTGAGAAACAAGCCTTACACTTGCTCAGCCAACTAGGCTGCCACAGCCTAACACAAAGATGAATAAGAGCTTTCATTTTCTGAATCCCATATAAGAATACTAATTATTACTAACTTTTTGCTTTGTTTTTCAGTGAACACCACTGCGACTTACCCTTTGTTTTTGTATTTGGTGTTGCCACAACTCCCGCTGCTGTCCACCGCAGTCTATCACAGAATGTGTCTGCTTGTATTGCTATGGAAACTTTTCAAGCTGAACCATCCACTCATTTTCTTAATCATGTTATTGAAAAGGTTGGTATATTATGCATCATCATTCACATTATTCATAATGTGCTGCTTCAAAATGTTGATCAAGGATGAACTGTGAATAATATTAGATAGAGCAGTAAATTTTTTCACTTGGATTTATCCAAAATGATCTCTGATTTTTTTTTTAATGGATGAAAATTCTCATTTCTGTTTTGGATTTTGGAAAAGGGTTGCAGTTTTTCAGTACAAAAAAGCATGGTTTTCCAAAGTATCTTAAAAAATGTTAAATTCAGATTTTTTTGGTCTGAATAAGAGATAGTGTCTAAATTCTAAACCATGGTTATGGAAATAATAAAGGGTAGAGAGTAATACAGGCAGGCCCTGCTTTACAGTGCTTCTCTTTACAGCATTTTACTAATACAGCAGTTTATTACATATACCCATTCTTCATTTATTCAGACGTCCTGCAATAAATATATTCAACACTCGCTTTATGGTAAGGATGAAAATATTTCAAAATAAGTAATGTGTGTACTGTATATGTATTTTTTAGGCCTAGTTCTGTTGCTCACTTAACCCTTTCACTGTCGAGACCCCCTGCTCACAAACTTGCTCTCAGTGTCGAAGAATTTTAAAAAATAAAAATTCTTCTGAAACGATAGAGAATCTTTTCCAGATGGTAATGACACCAAAAGTATGAAATTTGATGGTAAACTTACGGAATTACGCTCCTGCGAAGTTAGTGGTCTTGGCAATACATACACATCAGCAATTTCGCCCACTTTGAGCCGTATTTTTGGTCAGTTCCATTGTTCCAGTTGACCAAACTCATAGCTATTTCCCTAGAACTCCATTTGTTCTATCGATTGAGTACAAGAACCTGCCCATTTACCAATTTCAACTACCCAATAAAATGGTCAGAAATTGGTAATTTGGCCAATTTCACACAAATTTCAGAAGATGCCAATTTCAAAATTAGGTCCAGAATAAACAATACAGACATTTCTGGCACTAAAATAACATTTTCTCTCTTCATTAGTCATGTCTCCAGGCCCCGCTTATATTACTCTTGCTTTCTATTTTGAATTTTTATTCACTCAAAAATTGACTATTTACTGTTTTGCAGACTACTGCATTATTGTAATAATTGTATAAATAATGTCAATCCATTCGTGACTGCGTATTAGACTGGCCAGTTGGACACGTATTGGACGGTGACGTCATTTGTTTACTCTTGAACATCCTCAAAAATCAAACATTTCTGCTAATTTGAGCTCAGTTTCAATGTACTTTTCATTGTGAAACCAACCAAAATCATCTCTATTTCTGTAATGTGTGTTCCATTCTGTCAAATGAGACCAAGAAAATGAGAATACAAGCATAAATACCATATGAAAATACACCTCAAAGTTGGCATTTTAAACCAAAAACACAGAGTTTTTTTTCTCATTATGCACTGCGTGCTGCAGGATTTTTTTATACTGTGCACACTGAACATGCAGACCCATTCTCTCACATGTAGGCCTACCAGCTTTCTCCTGCTAAATTTGAAGCTGCTACAATTTTGGCATAATACTACAACACCAACACTGGCTTTCAAGCCGTAGTACTATGGCACCGACAGTGAAAGGGTTAATATATGTTAGTGTGAACATGCCATGTTTCATTTTATAGCGATTTTTGTTTTACAGCAGTAGCCCAGAACCTAACCTACGGTATAAGTGGGGCCCACCTGTGGACGAATGGATCAGGAAAATACAGTACTGTGGCTTCAGAATTATTTATACCTTTAATGTACTTTAAGTTGATTTAGTGGTATAACTGTATCTGAGTGAGAGATCCATGATGAAACAAGTGAGATATCCAGGATAAAACAAGTGAGATATCCAGGATGAGACAGGTGAGATATTCAGGATGCGACAGGTGAGATATTCAGGATGAGACAGGCGAGAGAGCCAGGATGAGACAGGCGAGAGAGCCAGGATGAGACAGGCGAGAGAGCCAGGATGAGACAGGCGAGGGAGCCAGGATGAGACAGGCGAGAGAGCCAGGATGAGACAGGCGAGAGAGCGGATGAGACTGGCGAGAGAGCCAGGATGAGACAGGCGAGAGAGCCAGGATGAGACAGGCGAGAGAGCCAGGATGAGACAGGCGAGAGAGCCAGGATGAGACAGGCGAGAGAGCCAGGATGAGACAGGCGAGAGAGCCAGGATGAGACAGGCGAGAGAGCCAGGATGAGACAGGCGAGAGAGCCAGGGTGAGACAGGCGAGAGAGCCAGGGTGAGACAGGCGAGAGAGCCAGGGTGAGACAGGCGAGAGAGCCAGGGTGGACAGGCGAGAGAGCCAGGGTGAGACAGGCGAGAGAGCCAGGGTGAGACAGGCGAGAGAGCCAGGGTGAGACAGGCGAAGAGCCAGGGTGAGACAGGCGAGAGAGCCAGGGTGAGACAGGCGAGAGAGCCAGGGTGAGACAGGCGAGAGAGCCAGGTGAGACAGGCGAGAGAGCCAGGGTGAGACAGGCGAGAGAGCCAGGGTGAGACAGGCGAGAGAGCCAGGGTGAGACAGGCGAGAGAGCCAGGGTGAGACAGGCGAGAGAGCCAGGGTGAGACAGGCGAGAGAGCCAGGGTGAGACAGGCGAGAGAGCCAGGGTGAGACAGGCGAGAGAGCCAGGGTGAGACAGGCGAGAGAGCCAGGGTGAGACAGGCGAGAGAGCCAGGGTGAGACAGGCGAGAGAGCCAGGGTGAGACAGGCGAGAGAGCCAGGGTGAGACAGGCGAGAGAGCCAGGGTGAGACAGGCGAGAGAGCCAGGGTGAGACAGGCGAGAGAGCCAGGGTGAGACAGGCGAGAGAGCCAGGGTGAGACAGGCGAGAGAGCCAGGGTGAGACAGGCGAGAGAGCCAGGGTGAGACAGGCGAGAGAGCCAGGGTGAGACAGGCGAGAGAGCCAGGGTGAGACAGGCGAGAGAGCCAGGGTGAGACAGGCGAGAGAGCCAGGGTGAGACAGGCGAGAGAGCCAGGGTGAGACAGGCGAGAGAGCCAGGGTGAGACAGGCGAGAGAGCCAGGGTGAGACAGGCGAGAGAGCCAGGGTGAGACAGGCGAGAGAGCCAGGGTGAGACAGGCGAGAGAGCCAGGGTGAGACAGGCGAGAGAGCCAGGGTGAGACAGGCGAGAGAGCCAGGGTGAGACAGGCGAGAGAGCCAGGGTGAGACAGGCGAGAGAGCCAGGGTGAGACAGGCGAGAGAGCCAGGGTGAGACAGGCGAGAGAGCCAGGGTGAGACAGGCGAGAGAGCCAGGGTGAGACAGGCGAGAGAGCCAGGGTGAGACAGGCGAGAGAGCCAGGGTGAGACAGGCGAGAGAGCCAGGGTGAGAGGAGGACAGAGCGAGAGAGCCAGGGTGAGACAGGCGAGAGAGCCAGGGTGAGACAGGCGAGAGAGCCAGGGTGAGACAGGCGAGAGAGCCAGGGTGAGACAGGCGAGAGAGCCAGGGTGAGACAGGCGAGAGAGCCAGGGTGAGACAGGCGAGAGAGCCAGGGTGAGACAGGCGAGAGAGCCAGGGTGAGACAGGCGAGAGAGCCAGGGTGAGACAGGCGAGAGAGCCAGGGTGAGACAGGCGAGAGAGCCAGGGTGAGACAAGAGGCCGGAGAGAGAGAGCCAGGGTGAGACAGGCGAGAGAGCCAGGGTGAGACAGGCGAGAGAGCCAGGGTGAGACAGGCGAGAGAGGCAGGGTGAGACAGGCGAGAGAGGCAGGATGAGACAGGCGAGAGAACCAGGAAGAGAGCCAGGATGAGACGGGCGAGAGAGCCAGGATGAGACGGGCGAGAGAGCCAGGATGAGACGGGCGAGAGAGCCAGGATGAGACGGCGAGAGAGCCAGGATGAGACGGCGAGAGAGCCAGGATGAGACGGGCGAGAGAGCAGGATGAGACGGGCGAGAGAGCCAGGATGAGACGGGCGAGGAGAGAGGAGCCAGGATGAGACGGGCGAGAGAGCCAGGATGAGACGGGCGAGAGAGCCAGGATGAGACGGGCGAGAGAGCCAGGATGAGACGGCGAGAGAGCCAGGATGAGACGGGCGAGAGAGCCAGGATGAGACGGGCGAGAGAGCCAGGATGAGACGGGCGAGAGAGCCAGGATGAGACGGGCGAGAGAGCCAGGATGAGACGGGCGAGAGAGCCAGGATGAGACGGGCGAGAGAGCCAGGATGAGACGGGCGAGAGAGGCAGGATGAGACGGGCGAGAGAGGCAGGATGAGACGGGCGAGAGAGGCAGGATGAGACGGGCGAGAGGGGCAGGATGAGACGGGCGAGAGAGGCAGGATGAGACGGGCGAGAGAGGCAGGATGAGACGGGCGAGAGAGGCAGGATGAGACGGGCGAGAGAGGCAGGATGAGACGGGCGAGAGAGCCAGGTGAGACAGGCGAGAGAGCCAGGGTGAGACAGGGGGAGAGAGGCAGGGTGAGACAGGGCGAGAGAGGCAGGGTGAGACAGGCGAGAGAGGCAGGATGAGACAGGCGAGAGAACAGGAGAGAAGAGCCAGGATGAGACGGGCGAGAGAGCCAGGATGAGACGGCGAGAGAGCCAGGATGAGACGGGCGAGGAGAGCCAGGATGAGACGGGCGAAGAGAGCAGGATGAGACGGGCGAGAGAGCCAGGATGAGACGGGCGAGAGAGCCAGGATGAGACGGGCGAGAGAGCCAGGATGAGACGGGCGAGAGAGCCAGGATGAGACGGGCGAGAGAGCCAGGATGAGACGGGCGAGAGAGCCAGGATGAGACGGGCGAGAGAGCCAGGATGAGACGGGCGAGAGAGCCAGGATGAGACGGGCGAGAGAGCCAGGATGAGACGGGCGAGAGAGCCAGGATGAGACGGGCGGAGAGAGCCAGGATGAGACGGGCGAGAGAGCCAGGATGAGACGGGCGAGAGAGCCAGGATGAGACGGGCCAGAGAGGAGAGCCAGGATGAGACGGGCGAGAGAGCCAGGATGAGACGGGCGAGAGAGCCAGGATGAGACGGGCGAGAGAGGCAGGATGAGACGGGCGAGAGAGGCAGGATGAGACGGGCGAGAGAGGCAGGATGAGACGGGCGAGAGAGGCAGGATGAGACGGGCGAGAGAGGCAGGATGAGACGGGCGAGAGAGGCAGGATGAGACGGGCGAGAGAGGCAGGATGAGACGGGCGAGAGAGGCAGGATGAGACGGGCGAGAGAGGCAGGATGAGACGGGCGAGAGAGCAGGATGAGACGGGCGAGAGAGCCAGGATGAGACGGGCGGAGAGCAGATGAGGGGAGAGCCAGGATGAGACGGGCGAGAGAGCCAGGATGAGACGGGCGAGAGAGCCAGGATGAGACGGGCGAGAGAGCCAGGATGAGACGGGCGAGAGAGCCAGGATGAGTCGGGCGAGAGAGGCAGGATGAGTCGGGCGAGAGAGGCAGGATGAGTCAGGCGAGAGAGGCTGGATGAGTCAGGCGAGAGAGGCAGGATGAGACAGGCGAGAGAGGCAGGAAGAGACAAGCAAGAGAACCAGGAAGAGAGCAAGGATGAGACGAGCGAGAGAGCTGGAATGAGACGAGCGAGAGAGCCAGGATGAGATGTGAGAGCTGTTTGGTGTCATGGTTTGGAATGACAATATTTTATTTTCACTGGAAACGTCCAATATTTCCACTGACCCCTGGATCAACCTCAAGTTCTGTGACCCTCTGCAACAGGGAGTAAACTGCTGTCACAGCAATGACTATGTAATGTAAACACAATTATGTCAGTGAAAACAATAAATGTAAAAAAAAAAATGAAAAACTTTAGTAGTGTTTTTTTCTTTTTTGGGTCACCCTGCCTCTGTGGGAGATGGACAGTGTGTTAGAAAATGACAGTTCTGGAAACATTTCTATTTTTGTGGGAAGAGTGTAGATTAACCCCTTGAGTGTCTGTGCTGTAGTTCTATGCCACGAGCTCAGCTCACTCAGATAAGCTGTGAGTGGTAAATTTGGGCCTAGATATGAGAGAATGGGTCTATGCAGTAAGTGTGCACCATATAAAAAAAATACTGTAGCACACAGTGCATAATGAGAAAAAAAACTGCAACCATGTTTTTGGCTTAAGGGAAGGATGTAAGTTGAGGAGAGAAGTCAAGTGTATATAGTGTCAGGTCTGGCAAACCAGTTATTGAAGCTGTGTTGACCATCAATCTTACACAGACAAGAGGATATTGGGCCAACATTTCTTCCTTCCCCCTCACCCCCTTAAAAATAATAATTAGTTCCTAAACCTCTTTACAGAGGCAGTAAATCTTGAGCACGGTGCCTAAAACCCTGCTTCTGATCCTTAGTTCATTAGAATATTAATAATCATTTTCAAGTTTATTCCAATGTTTCACATTATAAAAATTAGATTTTTCCTTAGATGTATTGACCTCTCTCATACTTTCAGGTGGTGATGTCTGATGAGGTTCCATTTCATATTGGAGGCCGACCTTTCAAGCTGCTCCTTGATATTTTCCTCTACAATGACCTCTCTGTTAAAAATTTCATTAAAGGGCTCAAAGTAAGTATATTAAAAACACATTTTATTTTGGGAATGTGTATGTATAATGGTAGGATTGCTGGTGTCTTTTTTGGGTCTCATAAACATTCAAGATTTCCGGTACGTCTTTCTACTTCTACTTACACTTAGGTCACACTACACATACATAGACAAGCATATATATACACATGCCCCTTTGGGTTTTCTTCTGTTTCCTTACTAGTTCTTGTTCTTGTTTATTTCTTATTATCTCCATGGGGAAGTGGAACAGAATTCTTCCTCTATGAGTCATTCATGTTGTAAGAGGTGCCTAAAATGCCGGAAGCAAAGGGCTAGAGACCCCTTCTCCTGTATATATTACTAAATTTAAAAAGAGAAACTTAAGTTTTTCCTTTTGGGCCACCCCGCCTCAGTGGGATATGGCCAGTTTGTTGAAAGAAGAAGAATGTGTATGTAATCAGCTTTATTTTAGAATGAAATAATCATAAAAATTGTAATTTTGGGAGGAAAAAAAAAACTGCTAATTGCCAACATGTATTTTTGCTGACAGGAAGAACAAAATGAAAAACATACTTAGAAATATGATAGAAACAAGCTGATTACATCAAAATGTTGCCAGAATTTTGCACTATTTTTTGGTAAGAAAACATTTTTTTCCATAATTTTTTAATTTTAATGTCCTGATCTCTGAAAAAAGGCTTGCCCCTCCCTTAAAACATAGATCAATGTTTTATTTTTTCTGCCTTCAAATTTGGCACGATTGGCTTGAGATGCCTAGTCAGTATAGAATAGGTCTTAACACTTGGTGTGCACGGTATTTGAAAAAAATCTGGGACCAGAGATGCCTAGTCAGTATAGAATAGGTCTTAACACTTGGTGTGCACGGTATTTGAAAAAAATCTGGGACCACTTAATACCTTGTGGAAGCACCAGTTCAATCGAGTGCCAGCTAGAGTAAACGGCATGGCAAACACCAGGGATTCACTGATATCATGTTGTATTAACACTCCCCTCTTAAGAGGAAAGAGATGTTGACCCTAAGTTTAGTGACTTTGAGATAGATGTGGCCACAAGTGGTTGAGGAAATATCAAAAACCTCGATAATAACCCATGTGCAACATTTGTGCCACATCCTTTCAGTTTTGATACCACTGGTAGTGTCATCCTGCCAGAATGTCTCATAACCTTTGCCCTAAGTAAAGAGTGATGATTCTGGAACGTGTAATGCGTGTTTGCCAGGCCGGCTGGCTGATTGGCTGTCTCTATTTCTGTCTGTATCTATCTGTCCCTTTCTATCCCTGTCTCTGTATCTCTGTCTATCTCTTTTTCTATCTCACGGGTACACATAAACACAGTTATTATACAGTGTTATAAGAAGAGCAGAATATATGGAGAGTAAAAGAAAGGTAAAGAGAGTGGTGAGAGAGTGCAAAAGGAGAGCAGATGATAGAGTGGGAGAGGCACTGTCAAGAAATTTTAATGAAAATAAGAAAAAATTTTGGAGTGAGTTAAACAAGTTAAGAAAGCCAAGGGAAAATATGGATTTGTCAGTTAAAAACAGAGTAGGGGAGTTAGTAGATGGGAGATGGAGGTATTAGGTAGATGGCGAGAATATTTTGAGGAACTTTTAAATGTTAAGGAAGAAACAGAGGCAGTAATTTCATGCACTGGTCAGGGAGGTATACCATTTTTTAGGAGTGAAGAAGAGCAGAATGTAAGTGTGGGGGAGGTACGTGAGGCATTACGTAAAATGAAAGGGGGTAAAGCAGCTGGTACTGATGGGATCATGACAGAAATGTTAAAAGCAGGGGGGGATATAGTGTTGGAGTGGTTGGTACTTTTGTTCAATAAATGTATGAAAGAGGGGAAGGTACCTAGGGATTGGCGGAGAGCATGTATAGTCCCTTTATATAAAGGGAAAGGGGACAAAAGAGATTGTAAAAATTATAGAGGAATAAGCTTACTGAGTATACCAGGAAAAGTGTACGGTAGGGTTATAATTGAAAGAATTAGAGGTAAGACAGAATGTAGGATTGCGGATGAGCAAGGAGGTTTCAGAGTGGGTAGGGGATGTGTAGATCAAGTGTTTACATTGAAGCATATATGTGAACAGTATTTAGATAAAGGTAGGGAAGTTTTTATTGCATTTATGGATTTAGAAAAGGCATATGATAGAGTGGATAGAGGAGCAATGTGGCAGATGTTGCAAGTATATGGAATAGGTGGTAAGTTATTAAATGCTGTAAAGAGTTTTTATGAAGATAGTGAGGCTCAGGTTAGGGTGTGTAGAAGAGAGGGAGACTATTTCCCGGTAAAAGTAGGTCTTAGACAGGGATGTGTAATGTCACCATGGTTGTTTAATATATTTATAGATGGGGTTGTTAAGGAAGTAAATGCTAGGGTGTTTGGGAGAGGGGTGGGATTAAATTATGGGAATCAAATTCAAAATGGGAATTGACACAGTTACTTTTTGCTGATGATACTGTGCTTATGGGAGATTCTAAAGAAAAATTGCAAAGGTTAGTGGATGAGTTTGGGAGTGTGTGTAAAGGTAGAAAGTTGAAAGTGAACATAGAAAAGAGTAAGGTGATGAGGGTGTCAAATGATTTAGATAAAGAAAAATTGGATATCAAATTGGGGAGGAGGAGTATGGAAGAAGTGAATGTTTTCAGATACTTGGGAGTTGACGTGTCGGCGGATGGATTTATGAAGGATGAGGTTAATCATAGAATTGATGAGGGAAAAAAGGTGAGTGGTGCGTTGAGGTATATGTGGAGTCAAAAAATGTTATCTATGGAGGCAAAGAAGGGAATGTATGAAAGTATAGTAGTACCAACACTCTTATATGGGTGTGAAGCTTGGGTGGTAAATGCAGCAGCGAGGAGACGGTTGGAGGCAGTGGAGATGTCCTGTTTAAGGGCAATGTGTGGTGTAAATATTATGCAGAAAATTCGGAGTGTGGAAATTAGGAGAAGGTGTGGAGTTAATAAAAGTATTAGTCAGAGGGCAGAAGAGGGGTTGTTGAGGTGGTTTGGTCATTTAGAGAGAATGGATCAAAGTAGAATGACATGGAAAGCATATAAATCTATAGGGGAAGGAAGGCGGGGTAGGGGTCGTCCTCGAAAGGGTTGGAGAGGGGGTAAAGGAGGTTTTGTGGGTAAGGGCTTGGACTTCCAGCAAGCGTGCGTGAGCGTGTTAGATAGGAGTGAATGGAGACGAATGATACTTGGGACCTGACGATCTGTTGGAGTGTGAGCAGGGTAATGTTTAGTGAAGGGATTCAGGGAAACCGGTTATTTTCATATAGTCGGACTTGAGTCCTGGAAATGGGAAGTACAATGCCTGCACTTTAAAGGAGGGGTTTTGGGATATTGGCAGTTTGGAGGGATATGTTTGTGTATCTTTATATGTGTATGCTTCTAGACTGTTGTATTCTGAGCACCTCTGCAAAAACAGTGATAATGTGCGAGTGTGGTGAAAGTGTTGAATGATGATGAAAGTATTTTCTTTTTGGGGATTTTCTTTCTTTTTTGGGTCACCCTGCCTCGGTGGGAGACGGCCGACTTGTTGAAAAAAAAAAAAAAAAAAAACCTAAAAAATCCAAAGTGCTATACTGGCAAGTAATATGCATTTTCATTTGTTCAGGAATCATACATGACGACTCTGCATCCTGTGTAATACCTATTGGTTCATGAAAGGCTCTCTCTGAGACAGAGAGAGAGAAGCAGACAGAGAGACAGGAAGACAAGGACACATAGGTAGACACAAAGACAGTTAAGCAGAGATATAGACAGACAGACAGACATGTTTGTGTAACAGTGTAAGAAAGTTTATTCAGGTATACACAAATACAGTTACATAGATTATCATACATTGCAGCATGTGTAGAGAACCTAGGATAACCCAAAAAAAGTCAGGGTGACTTATTTCCATTGGGGTCCTTTTGTTGCCTTATCAATAATATTACATTAATATAAAAATCAAATGTGGCAGATAAGAAATTGTATAAAAATGACACAAAACAAATTGTAGATAAATGGTTCAGAGAATCAACAAGTTAATAAATTAGACACATGTGCAACACTTGGGTATCTTTATTGAGGAAACGTTTCGCCACACAGTGGCTTCATCAGTCCATACAAAGGAGAATGGTGAAGAACAGGAGGAGATTGAGGTAATCAGTCCCTCAGCCTTGAGTCGATGTAGTCAGTCCATCAATCTTGAAAAGAATACATCATATGTGTGAAGAAGTGGCTTGTATACTGTAGGCAGGAGAGGTGCAGCAGTCATAGGTGGTATCACATTTCACCAATGTGGAAGTAGGTCATGCCCAATCTTCGGGCATGACCTACTTCCACAGTGAAGCTCTTGCCTCCTAATATCACTCCTCTCAACCAGCAAATGCATCAGCAGATCATTGCAAACTTCAAAAAACTGTACACCAAAGCAATGTTTCAAAGGTGCTTTGACATAACCTCGAACTCTGAATTGACCCTAAGAGAGTTCTGGAGGGATCACTTCAGTATCTTCCATTGTATAAGCCTTATAGATAAGATTTGGCAGGGAGTGACTTCCAGGACGTTGAACTCTGCTTGGAGAAAATTGCTGTCAGATTGTGTCCAAGAGAGGAATTGAAGGGTTTGGGGTTGGATGTGAAGATGAGTTGGTGGAGGACCACAGGGAAGAGCTAACCACTAATGAGCTGCAAGAGTTTCATCTGCAACACTAACAGACCACAGCTGAGGAAATTGCTTCAGAGGAGAAGGAAGAGAGATGGAAGAAGGTGCCTTCTTCAGAGATTAAGGAGAGTTGTGCTATGTGGAGTAGGGTGCATTCATTTGTAGAGGAACATCACCCTGAGAAAGCTGTTGCAATCCGTGCCGGTGACTTTTATAATGACAGTGCCGTGTCCCATTTTAGGGACATTTTGTGTGACAGGGGTCCAGTGACTCAAGTTGGTCCTAGTGGCATTAAAAAACATAGAAGGGAAGTGATCCCAGATAAGGACTTGGTACCTAGAG